CTTTCCCTCTCACAGTCTGCAGTCCACCTTCCAAGCGTTGCGTAAATCAAACATTTATGTTTAGATTTTTGAACAACAATCTATGAATCCAACAAATTTGGTGTATTCTTTCTGCAATGGCCCCCAACTCCTCTGATTTATAAGGTCAAAGCGTGGACCGAGAAATAAATGCAGATAGATAGACAGACGGATAGAAAAAATGGAAAGACGGGGGCCAAAACGTGGGCGACCCCGATGCCCAAAAGATTCCGATTCCGATTCGGAACACCCCAAACGATCCTCAATGCGAACATTAACGACGCCATCTGACATATTTGGTTTAATGGGTCAGCGTCGCAATGGAGGCAGAATTTCGGATGTGAAATGCCCTCTGATCAGAAAGTATTCATAGATCGATGATAATCGAGAAATGATGATGATGCTTTTCGGTGTGTGAGATACATACAATGGGCTTATCTCGCTATTCACTAAATACGCATTTACGGCGGCCTATCCAAAAGATACAAAATTTTCCTGTGTGTGTTGTCTCCACCATAAATCTCGCTGCTGCTCTGCTTTTTCCATAATTTAAGAGCAATTTATTAAATGCCGCAACGCTTTAATCTGCACAGGAAAAGCAGGCCCCAAACTGCATAAATTAATTTAAGTTCAGAGGAGTGGAAAAACGGGCGACGAGAATGCGTGACATATTTTTTTCTTTCCGTCGCGACGCCGAGAATCAGATAGATTTGCCATGTGCATCCCGTGAAAGATGCAGAAGTATCTTTTTTGTAGCGGCTGACAGCGCTGATTAGCACGGCCACTGGGAAAATAGCTGGGAAAATATTTATGGCAGCTGGGTTAAACGATCTCTGACGCCGCCAGAGGGTTCCCATGATTTTCCAGCGCTTTTCCCTGGATTTCCCATCGATTGCATATTAAGCCAAAACAATTATGCAATCAAATTCATGATGGCATGTAACCGAAGTTCTTAAAAGTCCCCAAATCCGAAAACTGTGTGTTATTTTCGGGTGTTTTCCAAAGATATTTCAGCTGCCGTCACGTGACAGGAAAATTTGTTTGGCCAGAAGAATAATGCCGCCACAGGTAAACACACACGAAACAACGAAAATTCTACTTTTTCTCGGGTAACAAATTAAGGAATTTCCAGCACGTACACATAAATTCTTCACTTTTCTCCGCACGCTTTTCCCGGCTTTCCACTTTCTTTCTCCGCTTGTTTATTCTCTGTTTACTGGCCTCTCATTTGGTCTTTTTGTGCTGCTTTTAACCGCTTTTGCTGCTGGCAGAGTCAACGATTTATGCATAATGTTCATAGCCAATGTCAGAGTCGCAGTCAGAGCTCATAATTTGAATGCGACAGCAAAATATGTTGGCGCCATCGACTGCTGCTGCCACCAGTAACTGTGAACTACTGCAAATGGTAAAATGGTAAAATGCAAACTGCATACTGCTAGCTTAAAATCTGCCTCTGTGCATTTCAATTCCCAGCGGCGGATGAAGTGGTTCCGAGGCTCAATGACCGCTCCACCAGCTCCACAGCTAAAAGCACTTTGGCTCGACTCGCCAATTGCCATTGAATAAATTCATAAATCACTAGAGCGCCACTCACAAAGCCCATGGTACACAATCCTCAAAAATGATTGTAACAATAAAACGTGCAAGGAAAATTTAAATTGCGACTGATATATAATATCTCTATCTACAGAAAGGGACTAGGGATTGAACTACTTGTGATTAAAACGGGAGGAAGGTAGATAGTTGAATTGCAAGGTGTTAAACATAAACTAGATAATAAAAGCAGAAAAACTGATCTTAAAGTTCCCTATATAATACCTACGACAAATCTTGTAACCCCCAGTTAAGTAGGGATTAATTAGAAAAGAAGAAAAGCAGATAGATAAATTACAAGACATTAAAAAGAAAAATAAACACAAGAGAACTGATCTTTAGGTTTCATATATAAAAGCATTCCAGATGAATTATGAAAATAAAACTAAATTGAAAACCAATTGGTGAAACATAATACTTTTCTCTAACCTCCAGAAAAATTCTTCCCTCAAGCATATCATATAAACTGCACACATCGAGCACTAAGGAGTTCAGATCATAAACAGTCTTCCATCCTTTTGTGGCCCTTATTTTCTATGGGTTTTGTCCAGGACAACAGCAACCTGAGTTTGCAGCTCCGAAGGACAGGAAAGGTTGATTAACCCCTCCAGATGCTTCAGAGCAAAACAAACAGCGACGAGATGAAAGACCGAGCCAAGAAGGACAAGAATCTGGAGCTGGAACACAGAGAAATTCCTGGCTCTCAGATAAATTCAGCGAAAAGCGCTGACAAACAGTGGCTCTGGGGCGGAATACATTCACTCTCTGTAAGCTTACGTGGGTGGTGTTTTTGGGGGGCTTCGTTGGGTGGCGGAAAAAGGGACCAGGGAACAACCACCCCGGTGAGGTTCAATTGCGGGCAAGTTCACAGCCCGGCAAGGACGACATTGAAAAATCGAATCGGGGGATAAAAAACAAAATCGAAAGCAAACAAGGGATGCGGGATACGAAAGGCGAACAAGTCAAATCGAGAAGAAGACTTTCAGCCAAGTCAAAGGAAAAGTTTCTTTTTAAGTAGCTGTAGTCAAGAGGCGCCTCCTCAAGTGGCCCAATATATTATACAGTCTAGAGAGCGGCTCCACACTCTATCAACTTCAGATAGTTGGGCCACCCTCATTGAAAATGGATAGACCACCCACAGCAAACCCAGCCACCCACCCCAATGCAAATTTGTTTTCGCATCAGCGAGCATCAGATGATGAATGACGTGACGCGCACAGAAGCCATCGCCTTTGCCATCTCAACCACCGGACGCCCCTTTGCTCTCCACGGGAATCAGGCAGTCAGCAGCCGTAGCCAGATCCCTGACTTTACGATTCGATTCGTTTTGTCACGACTCGAGGGGTCCACCCAGCTCCTAGCTCCTTTCTATCGGTGTTTACATAACATGGCCACATTGCGCGGTCCTCTCTGCACGCATGCGGCCTCCTCTCCAGGCGGCAACCTCCACTGCACCTGGACCCGATGGTCCCATGTAGCCACATCGTCATATAGCCGGCTAGCTCGGTTAGCCGGTAAAAACAGTACAAATCGCGTCCATTTACGTTACGCACCCTGCGTATCCACAATATGTATGTATCTGTATCTCGGCTGCGTACATTGTTTTGGCACTCGAATCGGACCACGCAATGTCCACTGGGCACTGATAGAGGGTCGATCGAGGAATTCGAGGATAGAGATTCCATATTCGACTGCTTCAATACAAAGAAAATGGTATTATTATCGATTCGGGAATGTTATTATAAATGAAAAACTAAATAAGCGAATTCCGTATCATAAGAACTTTCGTTTTAATCTCTTAATTATACACAGAGAAAAAAACGGAGCAATATGGAATTGATATTGTTTCATATTAATTTTTCCATAACAAAATGGTAACATTTCATATTAATACGGTACAAAATTATATGTTCGGAAATACAATCTGTATACAAAATTGTTTTGTATTGTATTTCGTATCATGAGAAGAAATTATATTGTACCTGTAGTATCAAGCACTGTCGCTTTTAGTGATACCTACAGTTTTAGATAATATAAAACAAGAAAATCATGTCATATTCTTTTGTTAATAAAGAGATAGCAGAACCAGAAATAAAAATATTACACCACTTAATAAAAAAGCGACAAGTGATATTCCAAACTTCAAGATACCAACGTTCGATTGATCACTCTGAATCCGAGAGTAAACTTGGATAACATGGGGTTATGTATTTCCCAGAAACTCTTCGAACCCACTGCGTAACCAGTCAATAGGGAACATGCACACGATATTCATTCGTATATCCATATCAATTCCTGTCGGCTGGGTTAACCTTCCAATTAGCGTCACGTTCACTTCGCTTTGCCTCGCTTGACTTCCCTGGACAATGGCTATCCAATGGATACACCTTTGGACATGGACAGTGGACATAGACAGTGGACATACCTGCGCACTTTTCACCCGGTGCAGATGCAGAGTGCCGCCCGTGATGGAGTTGGCTGTGGTCGCCTTGGCGTGCTTTGCCACTGAATTTATGACGTACTGCGGCGACTGCTGCAGCGGCTGCTTGGCCAAAACCGAAGGCGTTTGCGGTTTGCACAGCGGCTGGGCTCTTGCAACATTCCTAATTGAGTTTTCTGGTACTCGGTTTTCACTTTGACACTCCATTGATGGCTCTAGTTGTGGCTGCAGTTGCGATTTAGTAGCTGTTGCAATTTATCTCATGTCTGAGGCGGACTAGAAAAACACGCATCTCAACTAGAGGCGAAATCGAAATCGAAACCACTAGATGGCCAAATAAATGCCGTACAGAAACACGGATGCGGGCGCGAATGTTTTACCAGGTTTGTCTGGCTGGCAACTTCAACTGTAACTGATTCGCACTTGCAACCTTCAAAAGGCAGCCAGCCGGTCGTCCTTCGCCTCCAAAAAGGGGGTGGTTTGGTCTGGTTTCCGCCCAAGTGCCAACTTTATCTCGGCTTTATCTAACGAGCAGGCGCAGGGGAAGCTTCCCAGAGAGCGGATGCGGAAGCAGAGAGCAGGAGAATGCTCCTGTCCTGATAAGGAGCACACGGCAAGGCGGAAAAACTGCCCAGATTTAATTAAAAACTGCCACGGCTTCTCTTTTTAACTTAGCAGATTGATTAGAATGTCTGCTAGGGATGAGGATTAAATATGTTTTTATACAAATTTTAATGAATAATTCTAGAATTATAATAATAATGTTATTATTAAAAATATTGAAAATATCTGAAATTGATATTCAATTTTAATTTTTAACAGTTATTTTTAAGGAACCCATGAAACACTTGTTTGGTTGAAACATTTTTTGAAGAGAAAGCCATCATTACAAATAATCAAATCACAAAACATTCTTTGAAAATTTTGACAATATCTAGAGGACTACGAAGACAAAATAGGAATCATGTCCTTGTCAGTGAGAAATACAACCATTAGCCAAGATGCTGGAAGTATATATAAGGTAAGTGATTGCTAATAAATATTTGTTCATATCCCATTCCCATTCAAAAAATCACTAGCAATCCATGGATGGCGACTTGAAGAAGAAGTCCGTCCAGGTCACCCAGGCGTCGGCCGAAGACTCAAAGGTTAAGAAGAAGGAAACTATGCACTATTACAATGTGGAGACACAAGCCGATCTGCAGTACAGATCCCAGATAAAGGTGAGTCCAGGATGTTACACTTAATTATCAATACTAAAGTTTGAAGTTTTTAGATCCTGGAGAATGTAGATGGCGTAGAGGTAGACATGACGCCCAAGCCGATCCCCAATGACACCTATGTGGAACAGTTTATGAAGTACAACCTGAACGTGATGAACCAAATGACCAACTTCACCCAGATGGCGACCAAGAGCATGTCCAGATCACGGACAAGGTCCAGCGTAAGGGCAGGAATAGGCGGCAACAAGCAGTCCATAGACGATCTGATGAGTGGGGTGAGATAATAGTCCTTAATCCATTCTTATTTAATCATTACTCCCCAAACTAGAGTTTGAATTAATCGATTTTTTTGATATTTTACACCATAGTGTATGAATAAGATCGATGTTTTCAAGGAAAATCAAAGTACAGTCCAAACAAATTATTATAATTATGTTTATAATAACATGTTAGAAAAATATCGATGTTTGCGATAAATAGGCCTTAATCCATCCTTGTTTAATCATTACTCCTTAAACTAGAGTTTACATCAATCGATTTTTTATCGATAAGATCGATGCTTTCAAGGAAAATCAAAGTAAAGTCTAAATAAACTATTATAAGTTTGTTTATAATAACACTTTAGAAAAATATCGATGTTTGCGATAAATAGCATTATGTACGATAAATATCGATGTTTAAAAATATCGATCATGTCGATATTTATCAAGCACCACCCCAAACACTACGTAATCCCCTCTAGATCATGTACGAAACCATCAACTGGGATCCTTACGGGACCGTCGAGTGCCTCGGACAGGCGTACGAACCCAAGCCGTACACCAGATCCTTTCTGAAGATCACCCTACGCAAATCCGAGTTCTTCGAGCTGCACAGCCAGCCGCAGACGACGGTGGCCAAGGGATCCGCCGAGGGCGACGAGGCGGAGCGGGACAACCGCAACTACGAGTACCTGACGGTGGGCAAGGGCAAGATCCGTCGTCGCTCGGATAACGATGCCCAGACGGATACGCTGCTCTTCACCTCGCGGGCTGTGAACACCATCATGATAACCAAGGCCACGGTCAGTTCGTATGTGTCCAACTTTGAGATGTACGACACGCTGAACAACATCAGCAAGGAGTTCGCCATGAACACGATGGCTTCGGTCAAGGATCTGGCTTCGACTCTCGGGCAAACGGAGGATGCGGAGAGCTTCGAGGACGCCGAGACGGTGGCCGCCATGGACAAGGTGTCCTCGCAGATAGAGAGGTTGCTCCGCAGTCCCGAGTTCCGCAACGCCATCATGTACATGGGCCGCACGCTCTCGAGCAACACAAACGAGGCGGGATTGCGACGCTTCCGGAACTTTGACCAGGTTAACCGATGGAACTCGGAGGCCCAGTATGTGTACTCGATGAACCTGCTCTTCCGGCTGATCCCGGAGCCCAGCAAGGACGAAAGGAAGGCGGTCAGTGATATAGACTTTTGCCGCAGCAATGGTGATATTGTGGCCGTGGCCTACGGGCTGTACTCCTTCTCCTCGCAACATGTGCCCACTTCGGGCAGTGTCTTCCTTTGGAGCATCAAGAATCCTGGTGAGCCGGAACGCGCCTACTACTACGATGTCCCAGTGACGGCCATTAGCTTCTCTCCCTTCTTGGCGTCCCTTTTGGCCATTGGATTGTACGACGGAAGCGTCGAGGTGCGTGATGTGAGCAGCCTGCAGGACATGCCCATTGCCGTCTCGCAGCGCATCAGTTCGCCTAGCTCCTCGCCGGTGGTGGCCATCCGCTGGATCAAACAGGTTTCGGACGACGCCGACGAGGCGGACATCGATCCGTTCCTCAGCCTCTCGCAGGACGGCTCCGTCACCCGGTTCCGCATCATCAAGAGTCCCTTCCTCTTGGGCTTCACCCAAATGACATTGGAAAGGGTAGAAGGTCATCCCGAGGGCATCTTCGTGCATCCCTCGTCGCGCATCCCCTGCGAGTCCAATCGGCGTCCTCAGGGCCTCAGCATCACCACCCATCCGGTGCACAAGGACATCTACTATGTGCTTACGGATGAGGGCTGCATTCACAAGTGCTCGATCAACTACCAGCATCAGTATCTGGAGGTGCTGCGCTGCCACGACGGAGGAGTCACTGTCATGGAGTTTTCTCCATGGTCGCCGAAACTGTTCCTCACCTGCGGCAATGACTGGTGGGTAAAGCTTGAAAAATATCGATATATTCGATATTTTCACTATATTTTATCGATAATATCGATTTTTTTCAAGAAAAAAGTAAGATCTAAAAATATGATTGTAATGAAACCTCATAACAAAAACGATGTTAACGAAAAATATCGAAAATATCGATAATCTCAATCAGTTTCGATATTTTCACTATATTTTATCGATAATATCGAGCTAGAAAAAACTAATATCCAAAAGAATGTTTTTAATAAAAGCTCAGAAAAAAACGATAATACCGAAAAATATCGAAAATATCGAAAATTTTATTTAAGAAATAACCTGAATTTGATCCCCAGGTTCGTGCGCATTTGGATTGACGGCATTACGCGACCCCTGCTCGAACTGCAGGACGAGATGACACCGGTGCACTGGGCCAAATGGACGCCCACCCACTCCACGATCATCGTTTCGGTTAACCGGGAAACCGCTAACATCTGGGACTTTCGACGTAATCTGCTGAGACCCATGTCCAAGCACAAGATGGACTCCTCCTTCAACACTGTGGCCCGGTAAATAGAATTTTGGATTTCCCGGTATAATAGTTATCTATCCATTTCCTTCCAGTTTCTCCCACTGTGGTCGCACCTTGGTTATTGGGAACGAGCGCGGGAATACTCTTTTCAACGCCCTCAACGACATGCCCTTTTCGCCCCACTTTCAATACGACGAGCTGGAAAAGGCAATTTTCAAGGCAATTGGCAACGACCACGAGCTCTTCATGGAGCTCAAGAGTATCGGCTTCTTTGGCTATCCAAACAAGAAAGCTGTTTTCTAAATTTCTAAGATTATGGTTTGTTGTGAAATAAAGTACCGCGACTATCAGATACCCGTTACTGAGCTGAAGGGAGTGCGGGGAAGATTGAACTGCTTGAACTGCTTGCACGCGCGCAAGCTTTACTTGCTCATAACTTTTTTAAGAATGGTCCCATTTTAAAAATTATTTAAAATGTCGATAAGCATTATTAAGTCAAAACAAATTGCATATTCACTTTTACGAAATCTGAATGTTAAAGGTCTAAAAAGTTTCTATAGCTTAATATAAAAAATGATACAAATTTAAATACAATTTGATACTAAAGTTCTAATAAACTTTCCTCTTAAAACTTATCACTCCACTTCCTCTACAGATTTTACGATTTTTTTGGTTTCCTCAATTTCAACACAAGAGGTTCATCGACACGGAAGCCACTCAGAAACAGAGCGACGAAATGTGCCAACTTTAGGGATCCCAAAGGGGAGACATAACGGATTGTTATGTTGGCTCATCAGTTTCGCGGCAAGCGATCGAATGCCAGACAAGACTACCCCCGAGAGATGACAAGGTAACCCGATACGATACCATCCCATTCGAGCGGGCGATCTTACCTGTGCGAGCAAGCAGAACAATCAGCTTAGGCGAGATCAACTCCATTTGTGTGTGCGGCTTGAGTGTCAACGATGGTGGTCAGTGGTGCAGTGGATAGGGGTCAAAAGGGAGGGTCCGGCGAGGTCAGCGGGTGTTAAATAACAAATAAATAAACACTTGTGCTTACATTAGCATGGCAAATGGAAGCCGCAGTTGGGAGAAAGGGGAGAATTTATTAAACAGCCATTAAGAAAAAGAGAAAGAAGCCTGAACAAAAGAAGCGGGCAGGGGAGGGGGGCTTCAACCACAGAGGTGGCCATAAATGCCCCGAGATCTGCGGCATGTTACAGTTTCAGCCGTTGCAACCCGTAGATGCATCGAAGAACCAACAAAGAGCAACGAAATAAATGTCAAAATTCGAGGATCGTAAATAAACACAGAAACCACCGCACTCGATGGCCGTAAATTACACAGCACATTCCTGGAGAATGGAGAATGGAACAAACAAACAGAACTCAGAAACAGAGAAGGAAACACTAAAGCGCTGCTGGATGTCATCATCAGTGGCGCGATCCTTGGGCACCGGCAAACCGGCATTAATTGCTGAGAAGAAATCTGCGGCTCGCCATTTAATGAACATTTAATTGCAGCCCACATGCTCGCCAAGCAACCTGGAGAAGCAGGGAAAGAAGGACTCACGGGGGCGGGAAAACAAAGTCTTTCGCAGCGATGACAAGGAGACAAACGAGCTGCTGCCGCTTCTATCAAATCAGCAATAACGACAGCAACGGCGACGATGATGTGGCTGCCACAGTAAAAAGTTGCGAATCATTGAAATCGTTGAGATTCACATGCCCAAGTAAAGAAAACTTGGCCTTTTCGCTGGGTCTTTGGTCTTTTTCATAGCTTAGAACTGCTTAGGTACTATAATTTGGCCATTTTCATTGTATAAACTCACCCCAACAATATATTTTCAAATTCATTCAATCAAATGATAGTTAGGTGTTGAATATTGTGGGTGTGTTTCCGAGTATTTGGTTATCTACGGTTTGTTGTCATTCTTCTTATCTACGGTTTGTTGTCATTCTTCTGCCGTTCCTTCCTGTTTCTGCCGCAGATCTCCCTGTAGCGCTTCTCACCGAATGTCTCCTGTTCGGAATCCTCCGAAGAATCGCTGCACAGGCAAAATCAATCAGCATGGTGCATTTATTACTTTTCAGTTTAACTCACTTTACTTCGGAAACGTCAGAGAAATCCCCATATTCCAAGGGTCTATTGCACAGACAGCACTTCTTGTGCGACTTCTCAAAGCATTCTTCGCAGTAAACCCCCTTGCAGCCTGGAGTGTCGCAGGGATTACGAGTGGAACTGTAGGGAAAATAATAACCAATTAATGCAAGGAGAAATTCAAAACAATTTAGAGATACAACTAACATTGTCAACGAACGAGCGCAAATGGTGCACCTCTCCTTGTTCTGCCAGCGGGAGCAGCAGCAGCAGCACCAGCCCATAATCCAATAAAATATATTGCTCAGCCAATTGAGGTGCTCCACATTTCGCCTGTGGTTGAATTCATTTCGCTTCCTGCGACGGGCAAACTTAAAGAGGCTTGCTGGATGAAACCTAGATTAGAATCGATCCAAAAACCAATGTATATCCTTACTTCGATCATCGGCAATACTGTTGTATAGGAAGAGGGCCCTTTCCTTGGCTCGTTCCGGGTAAAAGAAGGCCATGATGAGATGGCGAGTGCGCAGAACATACGGCTCGGCCAGCAGGATCATCCAGGAGAGCAGGCAGAGTAACAAAATCAGCACATATTTCGTATAGTCGGGCTTAACGGGTAGCGGCAGGCAGGGATTTGTGTCCAGGATGCTTTTCTGCGTGAGGGGTCTAAAAGCATTGGCAATGCCCCGCATAACATCGCCCACAAAGCCACCGCCCTTGATCTCCAGATCGATGTAGGCGGGCACCTCGAGCCCAGCCTCCTGGTGGCCATGGAAGGACATCGTGGCCAGCAGCCAAAAGAGCGCGTAGTCCAGGAAGCAAATGGCGAACAGCTGCAGGCAGGTGGTCATCATAAAGCAGGCGTTCTCCATGATCGAAACGAACTCGAAGAGGGTCAAACGGAGGCTAGTGAGCTGTAGTAAGATATAACGATGAATTATGAGAGTAGAGAAAACATATAAATAGACTATCACCTTCATGTACTTGGACCTCTCCAGCCTTTGAAGCGGCAGCAAGGGATCATAGCCATGCTTTTCGTGCCGCTTGTCGATAACAACTAGGACTTTGGTCAGGAAAACATTCTGAAACTGCCGGCTGTACATGTAGCGCAGGTAGAAGATGATGGCTCTAATGAGAACAATTAAGGCATCATCCAAACTAAGCTATTCAGATTACTTAAAAAACACCGTGGCCACCATGACCCAGCAGAGAATGTCCACAAAGCCGTTGAGAAAGATGAAGGGCGACAATCGCTGGCTGATATCATGCAGTATCTCCTCGCCCACATCGGCCAGACTTTTAGAAGAGTTGGTATCGAAGTAAAACTCGTGCTCGAAGGTGATATTGGCGTCAAACATTTGCTCTATGTGCCGCACAAATTCGCGGTAGCCTAGGGGAAGATATGATTTAACTTCTTAAATATTGATTATATGGAATTGCTTAATCGTACGCTCCAAGATCTTGTCCAGAAGGCCCCAGCTGAGATCCCAGTAGCCGCTGCAGAACACATCAATTAGTTTGGCGGGGTAGCAGAGGGCGAGGAAGAGCTTGGTGGCCTGACAGAGCGCCTTGAATATGCCCATCTTGGCCTGGCACCTGACCATTGCATGATGAGCCGTCTTCTTGCAGCGCGACCAAGGAGTTCCCATCTCTGCGTTGCACAAATCCACCACAGATTTCAGCCAGGCGGCGCAGTTCTTAAGCGTATCAACTGGGAAGGAATGAAATATATAAAATAGGTATATAGAATATATAAATATACCACTAACTAATGGCTATCAGATGCTGCTGGAGGCGCAGCAGCACCACCATGGCCAAATTGAGCACGCGACGCACTTCGTGCAGCAAGAGATTCACCGCCAATTGGATGGCATTCACCGGCTCCATGATCACGTCCAGCATTTGGCCAAGCGCCTGGCGCAACACCTCCTGACCGCAGGCCAGGCTGCGCAGCATCACCTGCAGATTGGCCAGGATGTTGGCCGTGGGTCCCAAAGCGGCCAGGACGAAGGCGAGGCTGATAAGGAATGCCCTGCCCCTCGAGCTGCACAGCGAGGGAACGGACAGAGCCAGGATGCACCTAAAGAAATAACCAAAGATTAGAGATCAAGGAGATGGTGTCCTGCTCTTTAACCCACCTTACAGGTCGACTGTAGAAGAGTCCCAGGGCCACGAGCACCGGAATCGCGAAGGTCAGGTTGATGCCCACGTCCAAGTGTCCCAGTTGCCACCAGTTCCAAGCGAGTGTCATCACGAGCCCCGTCAGGTAGCCAACCATCACGTACGGCGCCACCAGCTTGAACGTCCACAAGTACACTTCGCTGCGGTCACTTTCATCCATTTCTCGGCCGTTTTTAATTCATTTAATTTATTGTTTATTTCATTTCTTGGCGCTTCGGGATTAGTGTGACCACACCTGCCATCACTCAAAATGCCAAAAGCTTACGTTACGTGAATAAGGCACCGTTTCCACTGTACTAACGTAACGGGGTTCTACGTCATTGCGTTTCCTCCCAATATTAATCTTTTTTTTAATTATAATTATATCATATTAACTATATTTTCATAAAAGTAGAATAAAGCTAGAAGTATGTTTGAGCGAGCATAAGAAATTCACCTCGATCAAGGTGTGTTTATATTCACCTCATTTAAGATATCTTTGCTTCTTTTGCTGATCACTGTTACAATAGGGGTATTCCTTCAGCTAAGCCCTAAAATACACAAAATCCGTTTAAATAGAAAACAAGTTTAAAAATTTACAAAGCAAATAGCTTTACCATTTTTACCGCCCAATAAAAATTCAAAATTTCACCGCTTCCTTTTTCGCTCTTTCGCTTTTTCCTTACGTTTATTTCAAACAACTCTCCTCCTCCTCCTTCAGGTCTACAAATGTCGTACCATATTTTTGAATTAACAAACAATGCCTTTTTGCTTGATATATCTTATGGAGTTTCGTTATATGAACAAGAATTTAGTTTAACGAGCTTTGGATTGATTTTTCATTAGTTAGTTGAGTGTTTTCACTTTTCAGTTTTCTGGTGCAGAAACAATACAACGTTGCATTCGAAATCCAATACTTAATTAGGACGTATTCATATTCATATTATATGACCATTAGATTAGCTTTTGGAAATCCAATCGGAACGCAAAAATATAAAATTGGGAATACAAAACCAGGTGTGAATAAAAGAAAACAAAAAACATCCAAGTAACAAATAAGAAATCTCCTTTGTTATCTTACAAAGTATCATTTTAACCTAGAGAAATTTATTTTATTTCAAATTTACAATTTTGGCCAAACTTTTTTTTTATTTTCGGTTAAACTGGTTGAAAAAAACCGATTTTTTTCGTTACATTTTTAATTTTGTACAATGAGAATTTAAATATCATATTTAAATATTGTAACTGTATACTGTTTATTACATAAATAGTGTTATTTATTTATTTATATGTTTTGGGATAGAAAAATTCTCAAAAGGAAAGGGATGCTGATCATCGAATCGTATACACTTGGTCCTGGCGGATGTAAAATAATCGAATACACTGAATGACACTCATGTTTTTAACATTCATCTAAACGTCTACTGGTTAACTAGGCACTTTTTCTATTTGATAGATCTTCGGTCAAGTCCACTCGTTCTTTTTTCTCATTACAAAAGCTTAAATAAATGTAGGGAGCGCCTCAAAACTCCTTTCTATTTCGAAATTGGTATTATAGTTTTGAAACGCACTACATTTTCAAGTATTCAAGTTAAAATCAATCCGTAGATTTTCAGAAATTTAAGAGTTGTCTTTCTGTATCTTAGCCTTGCCTACTGTACTCTCTCCTCTTCGATTTTAGGTACTGCAGCACAAAACTAGGGGTAGAACAAAGTCTGGTTTCACTGTGGTATTTTACATTAGTTGTCGAGTCCTATTGGCAAGTTTTCTCTTTGGGGAGGGGGCTGCAAGGGGTAATGCTCACCAATTAACCAATCGGTTCGATTTAGCCAATTCGTATAACCAAACAAACCGAAATAAAAACAAATTTGGTTGTAATTTTGTTGTTTTTGAAATGTTTTTGTATTTTTCTTTAATATTTCCTTTTAATGATACGTTCTTTTCGCTCGCTTCTTCATTTGTTTTTGTTTTTTTCTGACCAATGTACTTTACGCATAATATAATATTTTTTATTTTACTTGCTTCTTGCTTTTTGCCGTTCTTGTTCTGGTATTCATATATAGATAATATATATAATTGGTTTAAATATTTATTTTACAGGGTTCTCTCACTATTAGTGGCTCTCCGGTACTATGACATCTTGTAATAAATCGTAATTTTCGTTTAATTTAATTAATTGTATACTTATGTAAGTGTGTGTGTGTGGTTTGCATATTGCGTTAAATTTAATTTACTTAAGGTTAGCAAAAATAATTTACTTAGGAGTTACAAACAAATTAGATTAGGTTTAGATTTATTATATCGACTGCCGCGGCCGCTAGCCGCTGCCACGCCCAAGGGCGATATGTATGTACAAAATGTATTTTTTGCTTTCTTTCAACTTCGGTTCCTTACTCTACACCTCCTCTGCTCGTCGCTTATTCGCTATGGCTTACAGGTAAATGTGGGAGGGGATGGGCGTTTAGTAGTAGTAATAGTAGTAGTGGGCGCAACTTAGACGATTACAAAATTTAACTAATACGCGCGAGTTTTAGAAACATTTCCCAGTCTGCATTAAATCTATTACACGTTACATTGTACAAGACTTGCTTTACACACTCAATCAATTGGAAACGACGGTTGGCGTACGGCCCTCTTACTAAATAAAAATTAAATCAAATTCGAAATTCGTTCTTTCATTAGGGTTACAATTAGAGTAGCTCAAGTCTTATACATTTCTTCATAGGGCGAATGGGTAAACGGAAAGCATAATGAAAACGATAAATAATGATAATTAGCGTAGAACTTTAGATTAGAATTAACTAGAAAGCTGCTGAGCGGCTTGGAGCTGCGGGAAAACATCGATTACATATTCCCGAGCTCCGCCGCATCTCCTTCTTAGGCTCTTTTTGCCGTGCACATTTATAGCTAATATAGTTTTGTTTACATAGTTACATTTCTTTACAAAATTTACATTTACAGATACGTGATCTTTTTGCCACCATAACACAGAAACAGTAATCCCTCTTCTCCAAACATATATATATTACATTTTTTCACACATTTTTCTAGTAATTCACAAATTAAATACGGCTTCTCTTTCGTTTGCTTCATGAAATTTCGATCGATTTGATCTGATCTTCAATCTCGATCTCGATCTGATCCTAGTTTGGTAATTCATTTAAATTGTGACTAACTACGCGCTAAATACGAATATATATTTGTATTCATGTATGTTGTATATAAATATTTAATTTAGGTTTTAAATTGAATTTACTTTACTGTGTAGATTAGTGTTTTATTCTCCGCCCTAAGCACGCATATAAAACGAAAACAGAAAAACAGAAATTGGGTTCTAATTAGCACTAGAGACACGATCAATAGTTTCCCTTCTCATTATCGCCTACGCCTACTGCTATGCTTACTGTATACCATATATGTTCTAGTTTGCTACCTCTCGTTTGCACTAAATTTCAACTAAATTATAATTTAATTTCACATTGCTACAACTAGGTTTACGACGTTCACTTGGACGCCGTCTTTTTGCTCGGCGACGTCCCTGTTCTGCTGCTTCCCAGTATCGTCGTCGTACTTTGAATAGGAGCGTTCACGGGCGAACTGCGTCGCGCGGTGGGCGAACTGCTCGAGGAGGCGGCGGAGGAATTCGAGGCGACGGCCAGGCTATTGCTGCTGCCGCTCGAGCAGGACGCTGCAGAGGCGGAGGTGGCGTCGCCGTAGGTCAGCTTGCGCATATTCTCAATGGCCTCCGACCAGTGGATGGCATAGCCCTCGGGGTCGTCCAGGTAGTAGGTGCGATTTGGCTGCAATCGAGAAGAAGAGAATGTAAATTAGCTAAGCTTTCGAAGCGCTAAAATCATTGAAACCCCATTCCCCGGTACAAGTTTAAGTTTTTATCTGCGTTGCGTGTGCAGTTTTCAATGCCGCATTTAATTTGTTTTCATCGCCAACACGTGCCGAAGCCATAAACTGGCATTTGAGCGCTGTTTAGTGGGCGTGTGGCTGTTGCTTGTGATGTCATCACCGCTTGCTGGTTCAAGAAACTTATTTTCTTTCGCTTTTCCGGGTTTTCTTACTCACCGTGTGCACAAAGAAGATCTTAAAGTTCTTGTACTCCGCCCGCAGGTCTGCGCTCCACGGGATCTCGCCCTTCTTGATCATCTGCACGGGATCGATGTAGATGAGCCGCGGTCCGGTGGTCAGCAGGAGCATCCGCTTGCGGGCAAACAGCCCCTTGCGCTTGTTCACGAACCCCTTCTTGAGGATCACCTCGCCGTCGGCGAACACGTGCCACTTGTCAGTCTTCTGCTGCTCGAGCCTTTGCAGCTTCTCGGCATCGCTCAGGTCAAAGGAGTCTGGAGAAGAACAGCTAGTTAGTAAATGGATAATGGATAATCTCTGAAGGTAAACTCACTCTTTGCTGTGGATCGCTTGGCGGGCATGGCTACGCTGCTGCCCACGCCCAACTCCGCGCTTAGGAGTCGCGAGATCTGTCGCTCATCCAAACCAGGCTCCAAATCCCCAGGCACTGTGTAGCTGGAGCGGAAGTCCTCGTCCTGGCTGACGCCCGGCAAATAAGGGTAGATGGGGGGCGGGGTCTGCTGGCGCAGCGTCTGCCAGTCGATGCCGGCGAAGAAGGGATGCGCGCGGATGCTCTCGTAGTAGCCAAACTCGTCCTGGGCGCCCAGGCGGTCGCGGGGATCCACGCGCAGCAGCTTGCGCACCAGATCCTCGGCATCCGCGTCGAAGCCCTGCGGGAAGTCGACGGCGCAGTCGAGGATCTCCTTGAAGATGACGTAGTCGTTGCTGCCGCGGAACGGCGGCAAACCCGAGATCATCTGGTAGACGATGCAGCCGAGCGCCCACAGATCCGCGGCGGGGGTAATTTGTCCGTTCTGCAGGACCTCCGGCGAGACATACTGGGCGGTGCCCACGAAGCTGTTCTTCCGGCGACGATTGTAGCGCCTCTGCCGGTGGCGCGGCGAGTCCATCTCGTCCTGCTGCTGCTGCTCCTCGTCGCCCTCGCCGTCCTCCAGCTCCTCAGAGTCGCGATCGCCGTACTCGTCCTCGTCGTTCTCCGCCTGCCGATCGCTGTCCTCGTCGTCGTCGTCGTCCGAGTGGCTGCGTCGCTGCTCCGAGCAGTGCTCCGTGGCCAGTTCCCTTTCGTGGGCGGTCATCACTTTGGCGGAACCGAAGTCGGCGATCAGCGTGTGCATGTCCTCGTCGAGCAGGATGTTCTCGGGCTTCAAGTCGCGATGGACGACATTGCGGCGATGCATGTGCTCGCAGGCCAGGAGCAGCTCGGCGGCATAGTGACGGGTGCAGGCCACGTCGAAGCTTCCGACGCGATTGATGTACGGCAGGAGGTCACCCTTGCGGGCGTAGGTCATCACAAAGTAGAGGGAGCGCTGGTCCTGGAAGGTGCACGACAGGTTCACGAAGCCGGGCACGTTGGTCATCTGGTGCATCACCTCGCGCTCCCGCTTTATGTAGTCCTGCTTGCGTTCGCGCAGGATCAGGCGCTTTTCGCATACTTTGACTGCAAGAAAAGAAAGATATGGTGGGTTAGATATAAGTTATTACTAGATATTTAGAAAATCTAAAACTAAGGATCATATTTTTGCTTTTAACTAATGTATCGAAATGATAGTGAAAATATCGAAATTATCGATATATTTTAAGATTGACTTCACCTAGTATTCTAATTGTACTGTAGATGAAGCTAGCTATTCCAGTCAATGAATTCTCTTTAAAATTTGTCAACGCCACTACAATTTCCTCCCAATTTTCGCGCAGTGGAGACAACTATCGATAACGATAAGCCAGACTTGGATGGCAAACCACATTCAACTTGCGGCAACCGCTCTTGGCAACAACAAACACCAATGCAAGTGAGTATTAAATAATTCTAATTAAAAATGCGACATATAAGCACACAAAATGTACGCGTGAGAATAATAAAACAGCACACAAGCAAGCATATATTTATTTTTTTGGCACTGCGCACAGCCGACCAAATTGTCAAAGTCCAGAGGGGACTTCCTCCCACAATTGAATTTCGGTGGCCCAATTGGACTTTGCTTGGGACACTTTTGTGGGATGGCTCCCCCAAAAAAAGAAAGAAAGAGAGCTTTTAATGCTCTCCAAGTGCTGCTATCCCATTCCCCCTGCAGGGGGAGAGGGGGGAAGGCAGAAGGGAAGATAGCGAAAAGAAGGAGGAATTCAGAACTCAGAATTCAGCTCAAATTGCTAAATTAACAGCGAGACAAACGAAAGCGAGCGCGCTTAGAGGAACTTGTTTCCACTGACTTCCGTCCCTTTTCCGCCCCCCAGAAAGACAAGGCGTTGGAGCGAGATGCAGGAGATTCTAAACTGGTTGTTGAACTGGAACTCGCGAAAAGGGGGTAAAGAGAGAGAGGGAGAGAGGATCGGATCGGATCGGATCAGAGACGAGAGCGAGACAGAAGCACTATTATAATGATGAACCATGTGAAACGGGGTTTTAAACTTGAGCCCGGGTTCTTTTCGCATCCCATATTCCATATTCCATTCCTCGCGGGGTTAACGGTGATTGCACTTGTATGAGTGAGGAGTTATGACCGCTTATCAGTAGTTTCCCTTTTACACATTTTGTTTTCCGATCGCGAATCCCGCTTTTTGATTGACAATCGCAACGGAAAATCACAAATCTGGTGAAAACAAGGCTAATAATAAATTAGCCCCAACCATATCTGCCCACATTGAATACTATCACAAATCTATAGGTAAAAATAAATTTCAAGATAATTTTGCATTTTTTTTTTCGCTTTTGTTGTTGCTGTCCCTCTATCAAGATCAAAACAAAACGCTCTGCCAACAACTATTCGTTGGCAAAAAAAAAGTGGGGAAACAGAACAGAGAAAAATCAAATAAAATAAAAAAATAAATCGGAATCTAGTCTAAAAAACATCAGAGGGCGATAAGTCGTCGGTCGAGTGGCAACAAAATAAACACAAAGAGGAAAAACAAAATACAGCAATTAAAAGATTAACAAAGCACGGCGGCCAGCAACAGCAACAACAAATAATCGAGAAATAAAAAAAGAAAAAGCGAAAATGTTTTTATGCGTTTTAAATTTTCCCGATTCGATAGAAAGCGCAAAAAGTGCGTAAAAATAAGATTGACCTTCAAAAAGTTGTTGCGCAAAAAATGGTGGGTGTGTGTGGGGTGGGATCATCGATAAATGCGGTTATCGTCGTGATCCCCGATTGCTATGAAAGCTCTTTTTTTTCTTTTACTGTTTGTGCATGTTTGGCCTTTTTCTTCGCTTTAATTAAGAAAGTCACATTATTTATTCACCCGAGGGGCTCTACTCTGATATTTTGGGTTTTATTTTCTCGATTTTGGTTAGGTTTAATGGCCCCCTGATAAGCATAGCCTTGAACTTGCTGCCGCTTTTTTGTTGTTCCTTTTCCACTGCCTTGCAGCATGTGCAACAACAACAACAAACACAGAACCGAAAGTAAACACACATAAATAAACAGCCAGCAACCAGCTGCAAAGCGATGGAAAAAAGAAAAAACGGCACAAATTCGCCGTCTAAGCATAAATATTTGTCCAAAGCTCGCTCTTGAGCTCTAGAGTTGACACCTCGGCCTTTTTCCCGCCAAAAAAGGCTGTTCTCATGAGGGTGCCTCATCCTCTTCTTAGTCACCCTCTTGTTTTCGACACTTTGTCACAATAGAAAAAATTTCCATTGCCTTATTTTCGCCATAACAACGGAAAAAACGAAAAAAACAAATCGAGAGGCGGCGAAAAGCTTATCAAAGGCTAATCAAAGCACAAATAAACTGCAGAAAAACAGAAAACCGAAAACAAAAACAACAGAGAGCGGGAAAAGCAGTGAATGCACCAAGAGTGCAACTTGTTGCTGCAAGGAATGCAATCCAACGGGTTTTAGAATGGCGAAGCGAGACAGAGCTATAAAAACAACAGCCAACAAGTCATTTTGACCGAGTCGATAAAGCAGTGTCTCTGCGTTAGAGCGAGACAGACAGACAGAGGTTCTATAAATAAACCCAAATAAAGAAGCTGCAACCTCATTGTAGTTTGTAGTGTGTTTTTTTTTAAGTGGTTCTTGCTGCTGCTGGAGGACAACGACCAAAATGAGGCAAATAGATAAACTGTACTCTGGCATTCCAAGCAGAGTGAGAGAGAGAGATAGAGAGAGGTTGAAGATGCTGCAGGGAGAGAAAGAGAGGCTTCGAACTCACTTAGATTAAATATTGTATACTTATGGGTAAGTATTGATCTCTAGAATTTCTCTGCGTGTAACTCGCAAGGCCGTCGGGTGGTGTACAAATGGAAATGGAAACAAACCGGGTCTAGAAAAAAGTTTGGACCAAAATAGAGAGCGTCTCTCTCGAGATTGTAGTACCCATCCTCCAAACCCCACAAAGATTAGCTAACAGAGGGGAGACGACTATTTTTAGTGATCGTTGGTATCTCGAAACGCGATTATTGCCCTCCATTGGGGAATATATTCGAGACCACCACGTGAGATGGCCCCAAATTTGGGCAACCAGACGCGACAAAATGCAGCCCCCGCATGCATATAAAATTGGAAATGGCTCAGGGGCGGTATTCTTTGTTGTTCTGTTCCGATCGTCAACGACATAAATCTGACAGAACGACGTTCTGTGCCAATTTTTCCCATATCCCACTTCAGTTTCAATTTCATTAATTGGCCCCCATCAGCGACGAGCTCAATGACGTAACACGCGGACTCTTCGGCAGAACTCATTTAAATACACATATAGAGTAAAAGAAAAAAAAAGAATTGGGGGAACCGAAAAAATGGGAACAGAAATAGAGACGCCAAATAGGCAGCCTGAAATGTGACCAGGGGGACATTCAATAAAAAATCCACCCAGGTAAACAGAAGTAAAACGAGAATGAGAGCAAAGAGCCTGCAAGGGATTTCTAAATACAGTGGTCGCTGGCTAAAAACTCTTCTTTATAATAACAACTTTTTTCTAGATTTGCAATTTACTTATCTGTTAAAAATGTATAAACTATAATAATCGAAATAATAAACCCTTAACCACCAAAGTTCTTTTTATTTAGCCAGCCTTCACTGTAATCCTGCTTGTGGAGTTGCCTCTTTTTTATGTCTGCTTGTGCCTCTTTTTATTGTTATTATTGTTGGTTGTGGTGTTGCTCCTCTAGCAAGTTTATTGCCCTCTTGGAGCTGCGGCATTACTACATAATCGAGGGGGGTTTTGGCGACATATTGACTGCACGCAAAGGATTTTGAATACAACTGTTAAGCAGAAAAAAAAGACAACTAAGATGCGTGTGTGTGCGTGTGCAATAAAAAAAAAAACAAAAAACATTGCGACATCTTATTCTTCCTGCCTTTTTGCGCGCGACTTCCTGGCGCTATTTAATTTCGGCCATAAAGCGTCAGGCGGCCCAAATGTCCTTGGCACGTGCAGGAGTCACCCCCCAGTATACCACCCACCCATCCAGAACAACAGCTGTTGCAATCGTAAAAAAAAAACAAGAGAAAACGGAAAGCAAGGTGCAAAACCCGAGAATTATGAATAGCCCAAAGGATTCCAGGAGTCATCGTGGGTTGAATGACCCAATTCCCCGGCCCAATATCATATTACGGATCCAAGAGGGCAAAAAAGTACCCCCCTAAGAGCTCAAGAAGCTGCTATTTCAGTTGAATACCCTCGGCCAGCTGCGACTGCGCAGCAGCAGCTGCTGTCCAAAAATAAACGTGTAATTAAAAATAAACACCGAGGAGAAGAGCAGCACAAAGGTGAATATATCTTGGCGAAGAAGAAAAGTACCAGACATGGGCAAGCAACCCCCAAGAAAGAGGGTCTGCAATCCAGATACAATAATGGAGAACTGGATCGGAAACTCTCAAACCGAAACTGAAAATGAAACTGAAGCGGAGAGCGACGTACCCGATAAGAAGGGCAAACGAGTTCGAGAGTTCAGTGGCCCAAAAAGAGGGGAAAATGTACTGGAAAATGTTTAAAATCTAATTAACTTGAATACCTCTTAAAAAGATTCTAAACTGAAGAATTTCGGGGTAGGGGGTGGATCTCAACACCCAAACCGCCCCTGATCTGTCTAGCACATTTCCTCGATTCCGGCAAATCAACAGCTGCTCTCTTTTCCCAAGACTGTGACGTCTGCGCCCAGGATTATCTGCTCAAGAGCACGTGTTGCCGAGAAAAATCTTCCATTGCGGGGAATCGAGAATCCAGAATCCAGGTAAGCGGAAAATAAAGATACCCCGAGCCATTTGTTGTTGCCAAAGATGATGAAATAGCTGAAAACCGAAAAACCGAATTTCGTATGTTGTATTTCGCATTTCGTATGGCGTCAAATAGACGCCGCTGTCGTCATCGAACAGGGAGAAGCAAAGTGCGTAGGTAAGAGCGAGACGGGGCGCATGAAAACGAAAACTGCTGCGTTCATCGTGAATGTGCGTGCGTGTTCATGTCGGTTCGTGCGTGTGTGCGTGCGTGTTCATTCGTGTTTGTGTGGGAGGGAGGGATGTAGGGAGGTGCTTGGCTGGCTATGTGAAACCCATTCGATGGGCAGCGCAAAAAGAAGAAAAATCTGTAAGCCAAAATACAAACGTTGACCTTCAAACTACAAAGCGTCAATCGCAAATTGTTTGTCAATATTTGCTCGTATTCAGTGCAACAAAAACAAACAACAACAGAATCGGATTCAATGTCAAAAGTGCAAACTAAATTTGTTTATTAATTTCACGGTGCGAGAAAGAGGCACGCGTTGGGGAAAACTACTGCTGTTCACGACTGTTTTGAGTGTGAGTGCGCTTCCTATTTTTAAACAACTTGACTTTGTTATTATTGCCTTTAGCTTTAAATGCAATTAAAGCAGCCAGAACAACAATAACAAGTCGCGTTCAGTGGAGCTTTCAGTGGAAGCGCCTGGCGGAGACTCAGAGGGGGCACCATAATCACTAAAGCACTTGATTAATCTGCATTGACTACTATAATCCTCACTTTCAATGAATCTCAGATGATAAAAATGGTACAAAAGCGAAAGCGAATTCTTCAGCAATAAATCCTACCCCCATTGTTTCACTTAAATCCCCCCTAAATCCAACGCCTCTGGTTGCACAAATGCATTCCGATAGCCACGCGCCGTTGTTCCCCTCTCTTTTCCTCTTCTGTGCGTGTTTCTGCTTGCGTTTGCATTTATGCAACACGTGCCGTCTTCTTCTTCCTCTTCTTGCTATTCTTGCGACCGTATTGATTTGCTGCTGCTGTGGCAAAATCATTGCCACCTCACGCCCACTGAAAAGCACTGGAACAACTGAAAATCTTTAAGCAAATTGGCTTAGCACAAATAAACAACAAGGTGGAAAAATAAGTCGGCATAAATACAACACACTATAGTGTCTCGCGTACAATGTACGTGTGTATATAGTATATATAGCCTTTAAAAACAATGAGACTAGAAATCTAGTGAACAACAACAGCTAACAGCTGCTTTTTAGCTCGTTTTCAGACTGGTTTGGGTTTATATTTGCCGTTAATCGAAATTGCAATATAAAACGGGGATCGGCGAAAACAGCTGATCGTGTCGCCAGCCAACTAACGTCAGCTTTTTCGGCTTCAATCGATAAACACTCGAGCTAAACAAAAGCGAAATAAAATAAAACAAAAGGAATAAACTATGGGCGACACTTGCCTTATCAGTCTGAGATAAGAACAGAGCTACTCGCCCATTTTTCGTTGCCCTGACTGCCTGATGAAATTACCAATAACAAAAGGGTCACGTGAGCGTCCCCAAAAAATGTTGTTGTTTTTAGTGAGTGGGCTCACTAAATGATCGTCGACGCACTTGTCGCCTGTCAGTGGGCACCATTCGCCGATAAGCTGGACTTTTGCTAGCCGGTGCACCCGACGAGAATGTCACAGGCTATATCGGTGTACACTGTGCGTGAGGCGGCAGAGCACGGGTATTTGTAATATTTTACATGTAGATCGTTTCAAACTTAAGATTTTATATTTAATGATCTAAAAACACTCCCACTATTCAGTGGCACACCCCACGGGAATACCCAAAGCGGTTTCTAAGCATTTTTTGATAGAAGACCCCTCCTGCCTCTGTGTTCGTTTCGCACTTTATCGCATATACAGACGACGGCTATCGGAGATTGTTGGCAAGCCAAGCAGGTGACAGGCGGGCAGAGCAACAACAATAGCACGGCGTCTACATGGCGACCGCATTCTCGCGCTGGCGCCAAGCAGAGGCCATACAAATGCCGTACAAATGCTGTGGGCGGTCGGTCGTCGTCGTCGTCTGTCGAGTGCCACACTGAGCGAAAGTGAACGCCGACTTACTGATTTTTGGTGCCCGAAGTACTAACTACTGAAAATCGTACTACTTACTTGCATACTCGCGTCGCGAGTGAATGTCCACGGCCAGATAAACCATGCTGAAGCTGCCCTCGCCGATGTAACGACCGAAAATGAAATCGTTTGGCGACCTTCTGGGCGCAGGATTCTGTTGTTGCTGTTGCTGCTGTTGTTGCTGCTGCTGTTGCTGTTGTTGCTGATGCTTTAGCTGCTGCTGTTGCGCCTGCTGTTGCTGCTGCTGCTGCAACATGCCCAGTATCTCCGTCTTTTGCCTCAGTTCGCACATGCCATTCTGGTACCGCTGCAGACAGCACAACTTGCTGCACTGCGGCGTGGTGGCCACCGACGAACTGTTGCTGGCAACCGCTGCCGCCAAAGGCGAAGTGTGGCCTGCGAGAGGGAAAGGCAGAAAAAGAGAGAAATTGCGTTAGCATCATGGCAGGAAACATGTTGCCAATGGTTGTCATTGAGTTTAAGAACAAAAAGGCTTATCAACAATCAAGATTTTCATGAGAAACGCGAATTCTTTAGCAGGATCTCAAAATCTTGAGCTACTTTGCTTATTACTTATGATTAAATGACAAGTTATTCAAGAGCATGAGGTATTAGAGAGATAAACTTGCTAAAGAAGAAACGCGAATTCTTCAGAACCTATTTTCACTTACCATTTGTCAGATACTTGCTGCTGCCGTAGCGACTGTTGTTGTTGTTCTCAGTTGCTGATACCGCCGACACCGCTCCGCAGCCACACGTGTGCTGCGTTTGCTGGTGGTGCAGCCGCGTGGCCGCTGTGGTCGCCATGGCTCCAACGACTACGGCCAGGTCCTTCAGGTTGAGATCAATGAAGTTGGACTCGCTCAAGGACACTGGTGCTGAGGCTTTCTCCTTGGCCATAGCCGGCATTGTTGCCGCTGTCGCCGCTGTTGCTGTGGTGGCAGCAATGTTGAACTGCTCGATGCCGTTGTTGCTGCCGCTGCAGTTGCAGTTGTCGCTGCAATCTGTTGTTGTGCTGTAGTTGCTGCTCGAGGCGGCTGCTACCGAGACGACGGCGGCCGCTGCGATTGGCGATTGAAGCTGCTGTTGAGTACCGTTAATCTGAAAAAGATATGGAATGATTAGACTTGGAAATATGATTTGGCACACTTAAATAAATTCAAGACTGATGGCCCGCTTTGCTCATTATAATTGTTAATTCGCTGAATTAAATACCAGTTTACGTGAGCATTATGGAAAGCACATGCATGCAGTTTGGTATATTTTATATATATTCGAGATTCGAATACTAATATTTTTAGATCAATATCAGGACTTATATTCTAAAGTTTAGAATATTTAGTATAAGTGAAAAACGCGAATTCTTTAGCAAAGTGGCTGATTGAGCTACTCAACCCCATAACTCACTTCCTTTTCCTCTGATTATTATCAGAGGCTTCTATTGAAAGAGGAATTGAACACGCAATAAATTAAGTTTCTGCTGCGCAGCCGCAAAGCCTCCAAAGAATCGCAGAAGACGGGGCTTTAAAGCGGAACTCAAGAACAGGTCCAGAAAAGGCAGCAACAACTAAACAACAACAACTGTCTGCCCAATGGTCCGCCATTGACGTCAAGTTCATTGCCGTGTTGTTTTTGCTCTTCGCCCGCTCTACGCTTTACTTTTTGTGTGATTTTGACTTTGTTTTTGGCGGTTGGGTTCAAGGACTTGGAGCATAAAAATATAATAAAGTTCATTGCCACCTGTTTACATTTCTATTAGAAGTTTATGCTGCTGCTTGGACTTTGGCTTTGTTTTCGTTCGTTTTTCGCTCGCTTATTCGTTCGTCGTTTGAGTTTCTGTTTCTTTGTTGACCAGTTTTTCATTAAGCGAAACGAATTTCTGTGGCGTGATTTCTCAAGGAATTAAAGCTTAAAGGGGGGAAGCCCTCGAAGATTCTATATAATATCAATACAATATCAATATCAGCAGCCCAAAGTGTGAAGTGCTTAGCACATAAGTAAATCAAGTGTGCAAAAGTTGAACTAAAATTCAAAAGAAGCCCAGTTCAGATAAGAAACCAAATGTGCCTCTCAGCCCAGATTATTAATTATGCAACAGACACACCACCGTAACAAAAAAAACAAGCAAACAAACTTAAAATTTGAATAAAAATCAAAAAGCCATAAAAACAAGGTGAGCAAATGCGTCAATGAAAGTTTCATTTCAGCTGGCGGCTAATTTTAGAGCAACACAAAGAGCCAAAGATTAAGATACGAACGAAACTAGGCTTGGGTATTTAGGTATTGGGGATTTCAGATACCTAACCTGGGAACCAAAAGAAGAAAAGAAGATTCGATCGTTTAGGGGCCTTCCCCTTAAGGGCCCGTCCCTAAAACAGGTGTATTATCTACAGCAACAAACTCTCAATGAAAATAGTTGCTGTCCGGGGTTCGTGCGTCACTCAGATTGGAATGCGGTTGGTTTACTTTTCAGACCCGCAACCCAAATGGAAATCTCTCTCTCTCTATGTTAAGACATGACCTCAGCAATTCGCCGTGATACACCCACGAGTCAATCTAAACAAAATAAACATAAAATTCTTCAATATTTGAACTCTGCCGCTTTTATGGAAAAAAAAGTTGCCAACCTACTTTTTTTCAAGATTTTTTTTTTTTTTTTTTGGCAACTGCGAGGCTAATTAAGCCGACGATCTGCGTCAGCGGCTGAGAAACTGGTCAACCAATTGGTGAATGGCAAAAAAAAATGTAGAGGCCGAGACCAAACAGGAAATACCCAAAATTCCGAATTGTATTGTTGTCCATTACATGGGTTAAACCAGATTTCAACGTCACCCGACAACAAAACTCATTTGCATCGAGACGAACCATTATAATGGCGAGATATAAAGATGCTGTGGAAAAATTTGAAAGAATCGAGAAAGTTTCCCCAGGAGTGGGCGTGTATTGGGGCCAGAAAAGCCGAAAACCGAAAAACCAGACCGTACCGATCCGATCCTCTATATATGCATCACATCACATCACATCATGTGGGGGATTCGGATATATGTAACCGATCTATAAACATAGAGCAGAACCGACCGACGTCTCGTTGTCGGCGTTGTCTGCGGCGTCTAGACAAAAATGACATTTAAATTAATCTATTTTATTGCCAGGCCAACGCCGTTGGACGTTTCTGCTTGCCACCTCAACCGATCCCCCTTTAGCCCCCTCTTCTCCGCCCCTGTCTGTGTTCAATTTATATTTATAAATAAGATTTTCGTCTACAGAATGCAGCCAATTGAAAGCAAAAATGCAACAAAAAAGAGGGGACGTTTGATTAGAAATAGCCAGAAAATGGAGGGGTTGGGAAGGGGGGTCTTTCTTCTATCTCAAGGTATGCGGCCAAAGTTTATTGCGAAAGGAAAACCAAAACCGTACACGCTAAATATACACAAAATGTTTTTAATTTTGGCACAACATTAAAATTGAAATTTGCTGGCCGAGGCCACACACACACAATGATAAACAGCAGACCCATAAAAAACACAAAAAGGTAAAACTATCATTAGCGTTTTTTTCTCGTGTTTTTGTTTGCTTGTTGAATGGTAAACGAGCCCCTTAAAACTGAATATGTGTGGTTTAGATAGTTTTATAATTTTCCGATTCGACCTTTCAACTATTTAACAACAAATGTTATATCATCTTTATAACCACCGGGTTCCTGATATTACCAGATAGTACAGAAAAGTGGGCGGGGCATTAACGCCTCGCTGGCATTCAGCAGACACAGAAATTTTATACACAAACAGTAATAAAAAATTCGCGGAAATTTTTTCTTGCTTTGTATTTTTCTTACAAGGCTTAAATACCTGAATTATGTCCATGTTAAAATTCTGGATTTACCAATTAAATTTGAACAGGAAATTTGGAACTTGTGATTTTAGTGAAATTTATTCTTCGATTTTAAGGGAAAATTCCATGCCTGCTGCGATGTAATTTCTAAACAAAAAACCCCAAATGCACAGCTCGAAAAAAAGCGCATTACCAAATAGTAAAAATGCGCTTATGAATGAAAATGCACGCGGAGAGAGCAAAACAAGAATGCAAATGCAATGGCTCTCGCACACACACACTTACGTTTAAGCGTTGGGGCTTCGACGATTACAAAACTTGGCGCTCTCCTCCTTCTCTCTCTCTCTTTCCACTCCACTCTCCTGGCTGCGTACTAGGCGGGCGAACGAGAGAGAGCGAGATGGCTAACGCTGGCGCTCTCTGTTTGTGTATGTTGTAATTGCGATTTGGGGTACAAATTCCAATGGGCACACGCAGGAAGAAGAAGAGGACCCAGGCGCGTACACACACACACTCGAATAAAGCGCGCGTATTTTTTCGGCTCTGCGCGTGCCTTTGTATGTATGTATGTGTGTGTGGGTTTTTAATTTTATTTATTTGCTCGCTTTGATTTTTCACACTCTCGTTTTTTTCTTTTTTCACAAATTAATAATCTCACGCAGTATGTTTGTTGAAACAAAACACAGAAATTCGCAAGGAATTCGCCAGACAAACAACAATAACAATAAACGAGACGATAATATTTCCGACGCAGTAGGAAAATTTTATAAGAAACGAGACGCTGTATGTGTCTGTTATTTTTTTCGGTTTTCGGTTTTAGGAACTTGCTCACTTTTTATACGTTTTACTATTTGTAATTTGACTAATGAAAACAATCGGTTTCTATACGTTTGAACACAACACGGAGAGAGGAGGACACTTATTTTGATTCCGATTCCGAATCCGATTTTATGTAATTTGTTTGGCCTTTTGTGGAGTATTATTTAATCGCACCACCACACAACAACAACGGCGCACACGAACTTGGGGCGTCGTGTGTATATGTATATCAATGCCAGCGCGGTGTGGGTGTGTGTGTGCGTGAGGAACGCCGCGTGCACGAAGCGTCCGGTTTGAAATCCAATAAGAAACTATGCACGGGTGTATTGGGGAATATGTTGGGGCGAGACTCTGGCTTCCAAGAGAGAGCCGAAGAGAGAGCCGAGCAGCCGAGTGGAGCCGAGCGGCAACGAGAGAGAGATACTCTCTCTCGCCCAGTTAAATGGGGCCAAAGCAGCGCAGTCGCGTCGCCGCTGGCGGAGCAATTTTTTACAAGGCGAACAAGTTGCGCGCCACTTCTGAGAGCGTAATTGTTGCACTGTAATTGTTTGCCAGCGACTTTTTATAAATAAACAAGGCGAAAACAAGTTCCAAGCGACGAAAAACCGAAAACTGAGTCCACAGAGAGCGCCGCTCTCTTTGCAAGAGAGAGAGGGAGAGCGGCGGCCGCATTCCTAACTGTAAACAAGCAAGAAGCAGAGACGGCGAGAGCGAGACGGGGCGACAGAGGCCAAGAATGCGGCGCTGCTGGAAAAACTCGTTTTTCCCGCTGGAAAATGTGGACAAAAAAGAATTTGAGGAATTTTCGCGCGAAAGAGACGGCGCGCGAGAGAGAGGGAGACGGTGTAAAAATAAACAAAGCCGAGGGGGCAGGGGAAAAGGAATACACACACACGGAAAACAAGGAAGTGGCGAGGAAAGGAATGGCAGAAAAACAGAGCGGACAAAACAAAATGCGTGAGAAGAGGGAGAGAGACGAACGAGACGAGACGGACGGCAACTTCAAATGTAAATAAATATTATAAAATATGTATGTGCGCGAACGAGTGTGTGTAACAACAACAGTAATAATAACAACAACAAATCGAGCAACAGACATGCAAGTGAAAGGCATCTGCGTTTTTTTTTTCCGTTTCCCTCCACTTCTCGAGTTATTTGCAAAAAGGAAACGGCGAAACGGAGGAAAAAAAGTGGTCAAGACGGGCAAGAAGAAGAGAGGGGGGATAACAACTTCACATTTGGCTGATTGCAGGAGAAAATTAAATAAATAAATGATTTATTGGCCTGCCACTAATGAAAAGAAATTAAAAGTGCACAAAACAATAATAAATTGTTGTCTAGAAAATGCTGTATTTTTTTTGCTTATTTAAATTTTAATGGCAATGAACTGCACAGTTGTAAATAAATTTAAAAGTTAACTCCCGTCTGGCTGAAATTTTATTAATATACCTTTTTAATTCGTCGTTAAGGTGCCTGCAAATTAATTATACACATCTCCACTGCCTATTTATATTGACACGAATAAAACAAATAAAAGTGCCTGTATCTGAAAATGTATTCATAATCAGACAAGCTAAATCTAGATGGGTTTTAAAGCGGTTATTCTACAGACAGTCCATTGTATCATCTTATTTTATTGCCCACTTAGTGAGGACTTTATGACTTTGATCTTTGGTTTTGTATACCGAAATGTGATCGCTCAATGGAAAGTTTTTAAATTTAATATAAATAAATGGTAGCCTCATGAATTATGTAAATTTATTAGTTACACATACGACAGGTTCAGAAGTTCTTTGATTTTTTAAAATCATGAACAATATGGGAATTTTATTTATTTAGCTTATAGATTTTTAAATTTCTCTGTTCATCTCATAAATTAATGTTTTATTTTGAACAAACTATTTATGAACCAACTTTAAACTTAGGCATTCTGAACTAATAAATGTTTTTTGGTTTTAATACAAAATAGATAAAAATTCAGTTGGTGTATATTTAAAAAAAACCTTTAATAAAATTTTAAATTTAGATGAAATTGATGTCTCAAAAAAAAAAAAAAGTCTTTAAAAAATATTTTCAATCCTTAAAGCAAGTTTCAACAAATATTTTTAAAAACAATTTCTAAATTTTCCTGTATTCCTGATAATTGTAACTTTAGAAATATTTGTATTCTTCTTTAACAAACAGAAGTAAGTTAATCATATTTATTAAATTGAAGGAATCCTTTTCTTATTTCCAACTATAATTTAAAAGTTATATTTTTAACTTTACCAAATTTCTGTTTTTACTTTGAAAATTCGTTTTTCCTTTCTGTTTATCAAGTTGAATACACAATATGAAGACCAAAAATCGGAACTACAATTAGTTAGTTTCCATGCTCGTTTCGAATTTTTCCCTAATTGCCATTTAGATCTGTGGAATATTTACCTTGATGGACTTTAGTTTGCGCACAACGTAGTTGTTGATTTTGTTGGACCAGCTTTTACATTTCATGGTATTTTTCGCGGTCTCCTCCGTTTTCGGGGAGGAAGAGGCGGGGAGAAGACAGAAGACAACGGTAAACGGATTGCTTTTGTCAGTAGTCGCTGCTCTCCACACTCATAATTTCTTCAGTTGGTTTTCTTTTCACTTGCTTTTCCACTAATTATTTTATTTGTCTTGTTTATGCTCTTGTTTTTCAGTTATTTTCCTTTTATTTTCTTCACTTGCAGTTTCACCGCTCGGCGACAATTGTAAAATTGTTTCAGTACGTAAACACGGGATCTTTTCTTCACTCGCTTTTCCTTTTGGCGCGCTAAAGGAAAACTCGGCCGCTTGTAATAACTCTGCCTTCGGTTTCAGTTCGAGTTTAATTTTCGGTCTGGCAAGCGCGATCTACAACCGAACCCGTCGAATTTCCGAAATGAAATGAATTTCTGTTTCTGAATTTCAAACAACACAACAGAGGCGAACGAAGTGCTACGAAGAAATTTCTCCTCTCCGATGAACGAAACGGAATGGAATGGCGGAATGGGCCACAATCGAATCGAGAGAGGAGCTTGAAAAGAGAGAGAAAGAGAGCTGCAGTTTCATGATGCAAAAGGAGGTGGATGAAGGGGGAGGAGAAGGTAAGTTTAAGAACTTATTTTATTTATTTTATTGTTATTTTTAAATTATATTAGTTCTGTTTAATATTAATTATTAATCCAAATATACTTTTATTCCAACATTATATTGCTAAACTTTTAAAAATAACTCAAAATACACCTTTCAAAATTTAAATATTTCTAGAACTTGCTTGAAAAACAGTTATGTATTTCGTATTCATTTCGGGCGAATTTGCGATTTGCAAGTCACGGTTCCGTTATTTACGATTTGCGTTTCTCTTTCCATTTCGAATGCGCCGCCCATCAATTATTTATTTATTTATGAGCAAGTGACGCACTTGTTTTCCAGCTTTCAGTTGTTGTTTTTGCTGTTTCTGCAACGGATGCCGATTTTTTAAGTGACTTTTATATTATCGAAATATTTCAAGAATTTTTAGGTGCAAACTAACGGTTTTTGGAGGCATCTTTGCTTTCTTTCGGGCACTCCAATTCCAATTCCAATTATGTATGTATGTGCATTTGCTGGAATTCGAACTATTTGGAACTGCCTTCCCCCTCTTCCCGCTCTCTTCATCGCCTATAAGCCATAAGATCGTTCGTTGATCCGCGCTCTTAAGTTCCACACAAACATACAGTCTACACACGTATTCCACAATTCATTGAGATCGCCCGTTCCACAAATTCCCATCGTTCCGTCGACGTTCGCGCGCCTTTTTTGCCGTGTGTATGTGTGTGTGTGTGGAGAGTGAAATTCACTTGTCTGCTCTCGTTCTCATTTTTACGTTTTTACTACGAAACGAAACCCAAGACGGCTGTTAGAGCGAGATGCAGCGAAAACAAAACAAAATTGAGGGGGAGCGAAAAATGCAGTCGCAGCGCCGCTGCTCTGCCGACGCCGACGTCGGCGCTCTTTCGTCATCGAGTTTTTCCCCTGACGTTGTTATTGTTGTTCTTTTTTGTTATTGTTTCTAGATGCAATGGTTTTTCATCTGAGTTTTGGTTCGCTTAGGGGTTTTTCCAAGTATTACATTTTACGTTTTCATAAAATTTATTGGTGGTTTTTCATTTAAGAATCTTTTATAATATTTATTTAGGGGTTTTTCATATTTGAAATTTTTTTAAACTGTATCAAATCTTATAAAAAATTTCTCTTTTTGGGGGAGGTTCTCATAGGTTTTTAACATTTTGTTTATTTTAGTTAAAATTTTGTTATATCAGAATTTGTGTGTTTTTTACTTGGTTTTTTTTTGGAGTAACGACGATTGGGGCGGTGTTTTTCTGAGTGCTTTTCTTAAAAATTCAAATTATTTTGTTACTTTTTCAATTTATTACCCATATATTAAAATTTTGCTAATTTCTTGTTTGACCCTAACAATGTTAATGCGTTTCTAAAATATAGTTTTCTATCGCATTTCCGATAAGATAGGCAGCCAAATTCAAATGGATGGGCTTAAAATAAAGTTGAGACTTTGACGGATGAACTTTGAATACCTATTTTGCAAAAACTTTCAAGTATGGAAAAGCTTGAGTTTATTTTTAGCCAAGTGATTTATGGACTTCAAGAGATCAAGAGATATCTAAAAAAAAATCAGCCTAATAGATCAGTCAATTATAGATATTTCAGTTCAAGTTAATTTTAAAACACTATTTTAACTGGTTCGTGGTGGAGTTACCAATTCTTGGAAGCTTTAGCAAACCGATCCTAAATCAATAATCGAATTCAATTTAATTTGTCATACCTTTCGCAGCGTTTGTTTTAATATCGTTTTGTTTTTGCCCTCGGCTTTTAGCATTTTTCGGCTAATTCATTTGTTAATGAGTAAACACAGCGCTCTTGCTTTTGCTTTTTGCGGTTCTTGCTTTTAGCTAAAAAATATGTGTATTTCGAAATTAGCATTTTTAATGGGCAGCAGCAAGCGAGGTTCGGCGAGACACAATGTCGCCTGAAAAGCGAATTTTTAAAATCCCCATACCGATATTTGCATATAAATACTTAGCATAAAAAATTAATTTCTCAAAATCTCCAACAAAGTTCGGTTTGTGTTTGATTTTTGTTTTGGGTTTCCGTTTCGGTTTTTGGTGTTAGTTTCGAGGCATTCCAGAGGCGCTCTCACAAACCGAATCATTAGCGAAGAAGGCCCCCGTACACTCATAAAAAAATACCTTAAAATGTACTAAAAATAAAGTAAAAATTATTACGTAAAATTCTAATTTTAAAGGTGAATTTGTTCTTGAAATTATATGCGTTTTTCGCCTTTAAAACGAAGAATTTTGAAAAATTTTCATTTATCTATTTAAAAAACAAATGTTTCATGAAATTTTGTTATTAAGAAATTATGTTTTAATTTAAAGGCAAATTTTCTAGTAAAACAAAAAAATTTTTTTTGGTAGGAAATTGTGTTAAGTGCACGATTACCCACCTTTGAAAGCAGAGAGATCGATCTTGGGGCTTTGGATTTTAGTTTTTCAGTTTTGTTCACCTGTTTCGGGCTGGTCTCGTTTAATTGCTGGGCTTCCCCTCGGAAACCCCCGTCGAAAACCCTAGGCCCCCCTTGAGAACCGGTTCGGAACCCTCGGAGCACTCATTTAGTTGTCACTAAGTTTGCCCATTAATAAAACCCGCTGACTCTCGTCGGTATCCCAGAGTTACACATCAATGGACCCGACGATCCGTCCTCAATTTGTTTAATTTATTAGCAAATAGTGGGGTGGGGGCTACGGTTTCGTGATAGCCGCTTAAGCCAGAGAAATATTTCGTTTTAATCAACATAATTGGTTGCGAAGAGAAGGGGAGGGAAAATATTTCGGTCAAGTTATGGGCTAAAATTTTAGAAATGCCAAGTGCATTTTACGCAGTTTGTGTTTCGGTCTATCAGCTTGAGGTTACCAGCTTGAATTTCCTCATTAAATTTAGTTTTTAGCCCTGCTTAAAGGCATCATTAGACCTCTGAATATTTATAGTTCCTCCAGGGCTTTTCGATGGAATTTAAGGGGGGGAGATCCTGAATGCCACGACTTTGCTGAGCAAAATTATTGGAATTTTAAAGATTTCTGGTAAAATGATAAGCTACTGAAACCAAAAATAAAATGAAAGCACAAAATCACTATGGACGGCAGTCCATGTAGTGACGAAGCGCACCAGGAGAGTGTGCGAAGGCGACTACTATATATACACGAAGAAATGAAAATCTACTGTGATGGTCCGATCATAATGAATTATACACCTATCGAAAGGTATTGCGAAAACTAACAGGATTGCATACCAAGACTCTAAGAAAATTAATTGGCTTGGGAGAGAGAGCGGTGAAAGTGAAAAAGTGAAAATTTCGAAATTTGGAGCTGCTGGGGCCGGTGGGGATAAAAGCCCCCTCGAAATGTTTTAGTTGTATTCCTTTTGAAAATACCCGTCGAATGAGGGGTCATTTGTCAAAATCCGACGCTCCGTTCAAAAGTTATAGCCAAAATAAGATTTCCTTCGTCTTCCCAAAATGAAAATTTAATTCTGTTTGTCAGTTTGTCCACTTGTCCACTTGTCCGCTTGTCCACTTGTCCACTTGTCCACTTGTCCACTTGTCCACTTGTCCAAAATATGTTTTTTAAGTTCTGAAAATTTGATATGACGTTCATCACATCGATTTGAAAAACTTTTGTTCTACCACTTTTGGAAAAACTCGCTAGTTTAGCGGGAAAACAGCTATAAATAGCTAAAATTCGGAAATCCGTAACTTATATACTACTAAAGCTACAGACTTGTGCTGCATCTCGTTTGAAAGGTATTTTTAATTGCTATAAACGCCTTCTATATGCAATTTGTGTAAATGTAATAATTAAAAAAATATGAACAAAAGAAAATTTTTTTAACATTTTTTAGCTTTTTTTTATTTTTCTCAAAAACGGCTCTAACGATTTTCTTTAAAACCTTAAACTGTATAGCCCTTAAGATTCCTTAAATTTTGGTATATAACACATTACTGTAAAAAGTCACGTTTAAAAGTTATTTTTATACGAAAATAGCCACTTTTGCCAGCTCGAACAATTAACGCTCCCTGAGTATTGAATTTTGTGGGAGGGTATCCGAACTGTATTTTAGGGTCATGGAATCAGTAAATTTGCACTTAAGAGTTCCATATAGGAATCTTTTGTTCTACGACTTTTGGAAAAAGCCGCTACTTTAGCGGGAAAAAGCTAAAAATAGCTAAATTTCGTTAGTTTGTAAGTTCTACACTACTAAAGGTACAGACATGTGCTATACCTCGTTTAAAAGGTATTTTGAAATACTTCAACGCCTTTTTAACTTAATTTGTTAAAATACAATAGTTTAAAAATTATGATTGACCAATTTAAATTTAAATGTATATATTAGCTCCTATGAGAGCAAATGTAAACAAACAAAAACTTCTGATATCAAATAAAAACACCTCTTAACGAGGTAAAAAACTAGTGACGACCGCACCTTCAACATACAAAAGTTCTGATATCAACATTTGTGACGAAAAATTATTACACTCGTCATTAAATAGACTTTTTAATCTTTTCTCATTCGTCACGCTGCAATAGAAAATGCCTGTAAAGGGAAAAAGGCTGGAATAGTTTGCTAGGGCGGGCCGAATGAGAAAATATTAGAAAGTCTATTTAATGACGAGTGTAATAATTTTTCGTCACAAATGTTGATATCAGAACTTTTGTATGTTGAAGGTGCGGTCGTCACTAGTTTTTTACCTCGTTAAGAGGTGTTTTTATTTGATATATTTTTAATGGAAATACTGAATGGATTAACGATTTGTCAGAAATTTAAATATAATTTTGTTTACAATTTATAAGGTGACGCACAAAC